CGGGTGCCATGCCCTCGGAGCGCATGGTTGTCTTCTGCGCACCTGCAGCTCCTGGCGACGTCCATGCCTTGCAGCTTCCCCTCAGGAATCCTTGTAAGACTTTTCCAAGATTCCGCAAGCAGTCCGGAGTGGGTCTGGTTCCAATGTCACACATCACAACCGAGACACCTACAGGGCAAATGTGTGACGGCGTTGCTTGGGAGAGGTGTCCAGCCATGCATGCTGGGCCACATTCAGCGGCCTTGCCCACATTTTTTTGCACTTTCCGCGCGCGGTGCTCGCGTCACACAAACAGAGCTCACCAGGGCGCAGTCGTATGCGCATTCTTCTGTTTTGCGGCAAGCCAGCACTTCACCCATGATTGCGCCTACTGGAGTAATTGAGTCTCTTCGAGTCGGGCTTGCAGATGCTGCAAGATCCCGTCACGCCCAGCGGCTTTTTGACAAGTGTGAGGACGTCTTTTGGACGTGGGAGTGGGAGCTGCGTGTAGCACCAGTGACGCACTGTCATGTGCAGTTAGCCTCACCGATGAAGCGCTGGTGTCACATGATGAGGAGCCACCTGCGTGGGGTGGTTGGTGCGCTTCATGTGTCCTCACTCTTGCAGGGTGTGCCTTCTGTTTCCAAGTTACACGCCGCCATCGGGTTGCAAGGTGGAGCCTTGCCACAGCGACCCCGTTGGGCAGATGTGTTTGACGATGATAGCGACAATGAAAGTAACATTTTTAGGCGTGCCTTGCGCGACGACAGCGAGCTCCGACTCGCGACGTGGGTTCAAGTTGCTTCAAGAGCAGAGCAGCTTTACCTTCCGCTGGGACGCGCTGGTCGAGTGCTGCACGCAGACATGTTATCAGCCACGCAGAGCGCAGTCTGGTTCTGTTCACGTGCGTCCCCCAGTGGTCGAGGCGGCTCGTGGCTACAGATGTCGATTGTCTGCCGTCCGCAATTAAGGCAGAAGTAATGTTCATGTATCTGTCAGACGGTATCTGTCCTCACACGGTTCGACCTCGCCTCTATCTTTCATATTGCTTGACTTTGTGTGGTCTAGACCAAGCAGTGAGAGTCAATGCGTGTGAAGAAATTCTATTGCTGTACGCTTTTGCGTGGCCAAGAGCATCCTTGAAGGAAAGTCTACGCCGGCTTGGCGTGGCGGTTTCAGCCCCCTTCAGGTGTCTGTGTGGCGTCGACCGCTTCAACGCAGCAGCCCCTTCAATTGGGCATGCGCTTGTCCCTTGGCCTTCCGACGAGGTCAGAGGCGATGGAAGTTTTGTACTCCTTCACAGAGGTGCATTTTCAGCTTTGAAGTTGCAGCATGACTATGCAGTCTGGTTCTCCGGAGCATTCCAATGTGAGCTCGAAGCATTTCGACTTCAGAGCTTGCTTCTCCGAGGTGATGTGTCTGTCTACAGGCTGGTGCAAACCAGCCCAACATGCTTTGCTGGCGGCGCAGCGACCAAACAACGGCCAGTTAGGTCTGCGTTGCTAGTGCAAGAGCCATGGTGTTCCTGGATTGTCGAAGGATTGAAAACATGGGAGTTGCGCGCGACTCGAACAAAGAAAAGAGAGAGGGTAGCTCTCGCGCGATCAGGCGCAGGTCTTCTGTTAGGAGAAGCCACAATCGCAGAGCGCCTACATGTTGCTCAAAGATCGTCAGATGGTGTCTGGGTGGCCACGGACCAGTGCGGGAGCAAGAATGTTTTCGGTGATGAAGCCTTGTCCAAGCACTGCGTGCCTGACTTGAACATCTTCACTACTGGCTCAGATTTATTTGCCTGGGTTTTCAGCAATGCAGAGAAGTATCCGCAAGCTGTGCCGTATCACCACCCGCATGGATGCCAGAACTGGGTAACCCTCGAAGCTTCAGAAATCTTCCCGGGGCGAACGGATGGTGGACTTTTTGAGCAAAAGGCAGGCTACGTGCCACGCCAGGGCATGTTGCAGGGGTGATGCGCGCCAGTCATGGCAAACAAGGTGGCTAAATCAGTTGTGCGTCACTGCGCGCGCGAGAGGGGATGGCGCTTGTGCCATGCATGCTGCTTTCGGGATGGCAAATGCTGAAGCCGAGCTGGAAGACGCTCGGGCAGTGGCAGTGAAGGCGCTAGGTCAAGCCTTGGAGAGCAGGGCAGCCAGTGAGGATGTCATTCGTGTCTCGTCGTGGTACAGCGAACTTGCCATGCCGGCTGCAGCTGATGAAGCAAGAACTGACGCACAGGAGGAGGCACCTTCGGCAGAGGCTGCCGGATTCTGGCGGGAGCTTTGTGCAGCATCCACACACATGGCCAGTCTGGTGCGGCAGGCCACTGAAGCAGAAAGGCGGACCGCACGTCGCGCTAAAAATCGCCTAAGTGATTCGAACACGCCTGCAGAGTTTTTTTCCTTGGTGTTGGAGAGGACTGCTGCCTGACTCTGTGTTCAAGACTCAGCTACATGGAGTCAGAGGCTACGGAAAAGTGCTATGAGCTTCGTGGTGAACGGATGGTTGCAAAGGGCTCCGGCGCTGCCCTTACGCTTGAAAGCTGCAGGACCAAGTATGAGGCCATTCGTGCGCCTGTGGAGTTTGACAATCTGCGGGCTGCGGTGTTTCTGAACCGCAGCTTGGACGCTGCTAGGGATGCTCTGCTGGCCTCCGAGCTGGATATTCACGCGTGCTTTGCCATGGCAGAGGCCATTGAAGTCTAGGCTTCGGCAGAGTTGCCAAGGCTGCGTATCTACGAGCAGTTCAAGCAAGGGACTACTTCTTCAGCTGCGACGAGCTTGCAGTGATATCTCGCGAGCTTGGGCAGAACCTGCTCATTGCCAGGGACATGGATGAAGGCCTGTTTGTGGTGGAGTGCGTCGTGGAGTGCAGCAGCGGTCCATTCAATGCGGTACTCATTCGCGATGCAGGAGGACAGAGACGCACACGCTCCCACTTCGAGCGCTTGGCAACATTGGAGGCAGTGCAAATGCTGCAAGCAGACTATGAACCGGGGCCATCGTTCAAACCCTTCAGTGGATGTGAGCCCCTGCCTTCAGACGGACCCAATCCTTTTACGTCGAATGTAGATTTCACGGGTGAACTTCTTCCGCTGCATGGCGATGGCAAGAGGAGCTGGACAGTGCTGTCAGCCAAGTGCTAGCAGCGTATATGGCAAAGAAGGATGTCGGGCCCGTGCTGGAAAGCCTGCCGGTTCTTTCGTGCGAGACGCAGGCGGCCCCGTGGGCAACGCTGGAGCAGCGTCTGGACGCAGCTACCCAGCAATATGTAGTCAGCAAAGTGACTTCCCCTGATGCCGTCGCGACAGCTTGCGCAATCTGGCGCACGGCATTTTTTTGGATTGTTGTTCTCATGGAGGCATGGTCCAGAACAACAGGCATGCCGACTGTAATTTACATCGACACCTTCTATGCCCTAGTGTCTAGCCTCGTGAACAAGAACATCGATTTCGATGCAGCTGGATTTCCATGCCGCGCGCGCTACTGGGCCTGTGGCACAGCAGCCCCCGGATCCGGCAAGTCTCCAGCAATGGAACCTCTGAAGGCGGCGGCCTCAAGCAAAGCGAAGTAAGTTCGTATTTCACGTCTAGTTCCATGTGAAATGTATTAGTGTTCGCCAGCTCTGTCAGATAAAGCTGTGTGAGGCCCAGCTTCTCGCCTGGCATGCCCAGCGACAATTTTCACCTCCAACCCGTCGGAACCCATGCAGCTGCTGTGGATCGGCTCCGCGCTACTGGCGGGTACCAGTTTTTTGGAGCTTCAGAAGGTGGCCCAGTGCTGTGTCCTTCCTGGGCGACATCTAATACATGGAACCAAGGCACTCACGTGAACTGCGCTATTTGGATGCTGCGACAGGAGGCCCAGTCCCATGGGAGACAGCTGTGGAGCGTCGTCCGCGTCGAACAGATGGCTCTCCTGGCGCAGCAGATGATGGCATCACTAATGTCGGGGTGGTTATACTGCAGCAAGGGTCCTTGTTCTCCACGTGGTGGGCGCAAGCAGAGCAGCGGCTCAGTGTCGGGTTGGCGCGCTTCGTGTTCTCTTTTTGCGGCTGCGGGAGAACCCGGGCCACCTTCTTTGTCTGGATTCGGCGTCGATGTGGTCATTCCAATGGTCAAAAGGTTTTTCAGAGCATTGCTGAAGCAACTTGGTCCCCGCGCGCCCCTGCCCAGTAATAGCGCATTGCTGCGCTGGAAAGGCGCTGAGGATACGCGTCAAGCCGTGTACCAGTACCGCTTGAGGTGTCATGCCTGCACTAAAACTTGCGCAAGGGATGAAACCTTCGCCGCCTGCCTGAACAAGGCTGCATACTGGCTTTCGTCGACCAGTTTCTTGAATGCAGTACTCAAGCAGCTGTGGCCCAGCGTGGTAAATCCAGCAGTGCAGCCACAAGTTCGCCTGGAGCCTCGCGTCGAGGAGGATTCTGTAAATAAAGCTTGCAATGGACTTCTTTACATATCGGTTCCTCTTCGGCGCGTCCATCTTGGTGGCAGACATGCAGCAGCGTCTCTGGCAGAAGAGGAGGCGTGTGACACGTGCAGAATCGTCGCGATGGGACCCAGGCGCTGTTCTCCTTCTGCAAGCTTCATGCGGTGTGAAAATCACTCCAAACATCGCTCAGCGATCAGGCCCCATGTTCCGGGATCTCCTTACCACAGGTGCGAGCAGCAACGCGCGCAAGGAGGCTGAGAAGAGATACGACTTCGCCTTGGCCTTCCTGGAAGAACGTGGCTTTGGCGTGGTGACAATCGTCAAAGGCGAAACAGAGGCAGGCGCGCAACCAAGCAAAGCGTGTGTGAGCTAGGATAAAACAGACAGCGGTTAGCAATTAGCGATCTAAGTGCGGGTGCTTATAGGGCTGTCTTATATCTGCTAAACCCGTTCTTGTCAGGGCCAGGAACATCCCGTTTTCATCAAGCGACGCTACGCGTGCTTGCCAGAATCTTGCAAGAAGCAGCTGGAGGAATGTGGCATTCATGCAATTTGCTTTGGGTTGCACATTGTGCCGCCTCCTCAACAACCCAGGCAGACAGTCTCCTGCAGGCACACGTGGCCGAAACGGATCCAGATGGTCGTGGCAGCGGGAGCACGGCAAAAGCATCTGGTTGTCAAAGCCAGAGTGAGGCCGAGATTCCTGATGGCGAGGGCGAGCTGGCCCAAGATCCGCAAGCTTTGCAAGAGACGGATGGTCAAGAGAAAGAACCCTGGAGACGATTGTGCCTGAAAGAAAATGTTCTTGTTCAGAACTACACAAATTTACGTGAGCTCACGGAAGCCATCCTGGGCGAAGCGCGTGACCCTGGCGTATACACGTTCAAACAGCAGCAGCGTAAAGGCAGCCTGCAATGTCTGGCATGGTGCAAGCCTGCAGCTTGCTTGGACTGCAGCAGAGAAGTTATGGCTTGCTATAGTGGCAACAATCTCGAGATTCTTGCTCGGGGCAAGCGTGGCACGCTGCAGAAACCCACAGGAGGTGCTTTGTTTACGGTTGCTGAAGTGTTTGCCATAGAGAAGCATATGCAGGAAGGTGGCCAGATGACAGCTCCGCAGGTTCGGCAAGCTTTGAAGAAGGAGAAGTTGGCGCTGCGCTGTACCGCTCGCCAGCTGGCCAATATTATGTGACCCGCCGACGTGCAGAGCTTGGGCAGGTCGCACGCAAGCGCCGAGAGGTGCATGTGGAGGAACTTCGCAGTGCAGCAGCCAAGTTCAAGATGCCAGACGGGGCCACGTGGACTTCGCTGCCCCTGGACAAATTAGTTATTTTGCCTGACCCTGTCATTTCCGACGAACGCGTGTGCGTCATCTGGACACAGAAGCAACCACCTCTTCCTTTTTTCAAATGTTCTTCCAATTCTTGGATCCTAACACCAAAAATCTCGACAAGAGCCCTGGAAATGTAACATCACAGGAGGACTATCTTTGGGCAGCGCGCCTCCTCATTGATGATCATCGATGTGCCTTTGCACCTTGGGCTTTGCGGAGCCTTGTAGAAAGAAGACTCCTGCAAATTGCTGCGTTTCAACTTGTCAACTTCAAGGCGTGATGCGTAATTTCTGTTTATCATCTGTGGGCATCTCCAAGGCCGCAGCTTGCAACTTGTGTCGCGTTTCTGGGGGACTCTTTGGCGTCCCAGACCAAAGTACAGAACATCTTGTTCAGGGCAACCGATGAGGTCTGATAAGGCTTTGGGGAGTGTTATATATCCTGTGCTTCAGGTCGGTGGTCTTTGCTTGTCCAACTAAGAAAAGATATTAAAGTTCTTCAATGCTCTGTCAAGTCTTACAGATAATTTGGGATAGTATAAACAGGGGCGGGGTGCATTAGAGGCAAAGGGGTGGGTAAAATGGTTTGTGATGCTGAGTAGAATGAGATCACCTGAGCGAGTGTAAAGACCAAGATCGCCTAGGATTAGGCTATAGAAGCATACAGAATGAAAAGGAGAAACTGCGACAAAAGATGAGAAGCGTAGAACCTAGAGTCTCTATAGCAGTCACACGCGCCTCCCAAGTGTTCCCAACTTGGGGCTCCTGCAATTGTCCGTTGCCCAGCTCCGCTTTCACGTGCCACTGGCTGTTACTAAAGGTGCAGATCCAATAGGCCGTGTCTCGCCAGTCGGGCGATACAGACTGCGCATGTTTGCGAATGGCCTCACCCAAATGTCGCGCCGCCATGCCCCAGTAGTGACTCACGAGCCACGCGATGGGGTCGGGGCCCGCCATTTCTGCCCAGGAAAGTTGGACGAGATCCCAATCAACAGCTTTCATGCTTCCGAGAAAATGGCCGGTGCTTTCAGAATCTGCAGGTTGCAGGTCATCAGCCACAATCATTGTAATCCGTCTGACTTCGCCATGTACCATTGCAGCAGATCGATTCGCCCAGCTCACCGTCAGGCTTTCACTCACATATGTAGCCACCAATACATCCATGCCACCATCCCCATCCCAATCAACCAACTCAAACTGCAGCACGTTTCTGTAAATAGAGGCATGTGGTTCTACAGCGTCTATACAGGCCTGCAACAACTGATGTTTCCTAAAAGTGTTATTCCCAAGCCGTTCGAAGAACCCAAAGTGTCGCTTACCCAAAGCATAATGCCAAAGGCCAGCGGGCTGAGGGATTTTGTCGACATATGCGGCGAAAAAATCCAGGTCGCCATCTCCATCCCAGTCCATAAATCATTTCATCTCCTCTATGCCAGCAACCACAACCACACTGTCGTCAACCAATTCGATTTCTGTGGGCTCCTTGTACGTTTGTCGGCGACCCGCGCAGCTACCAGGCTCTGCTTGGCACCATGAAGGCTTCCCCTCACTGAACCATGAAGTTTGATAACCTTGTGCTTTCTCAGGCTACCGCTTTTGCGCCTCACTAAGGGAAACTAACCAAGCAAATGTCAGCAGCTTTAGGAAGAAGCCATGTGATGGAATGGATCGCATGGACACCATGGCTGGAGGGCGACTAACCCACACAAAGAAACAAAGAAAACTGAACTCATGAAGCTTTTTTGGCAGGGCTGCATGTCTCCTAGTTTACCTCCTGTTCTGCCAGGAGAATGAGCATTGCAGAAACATCCGGGCGTGTTTTTGAAGAGCTAACGGCTGTTGAGGCCACCAAGTCATGGAAGATCTCCTGTTTTGCTGTGAGTTGCTGTGAGCACATCTGTGGCTGGAGCCCGGCTAGCGACAATAGTGCGCCAGGCACTTCGGGCCAAGCCAGTCTGATGCGCCAACCACGGTCAACAAATCCCACATGCGCCAAATCCTCCAAGAGAATCGAACGTCGTTGTGCGGAAAAGTGCAAAACACCTACCCTTGGACTGCTCGCGGTCAACTCTGAAATACGGTTACAGGAGGGCGCGGAATCTTTTCACGACCACACCACACCTCTTCACGGAACCCTGAAGCTTTCTTTGGCCCCAGTTCTTGGAGTCACTACGTTCCTCGCGCCCAGTAGTGAGAAGTATTGGAAATTGAGTTGACGCTGCCCATGGAACCCTAACATGTGACAAAATTCAGCAACCGACTCAGTTGAGCTTCTCATCTTACACCTTCCCATCTCAGAATTCCGTCGCCTGCAGACATTCCCTGCCAGGCACCAGGTCAGAGCGATTGCGCAGGAAATGCAACGCAAACTGCCATTGAGATCCCTTCTCGCGTGCAGACACCGCGATGCCCGAGGAGACAATATCCTGCGCAGGCTTGCTGAGATAGTTGAGTATTAAGACCATCGTAATGTCAACGGATTATTCAACGCTCGTTCGCAACCAAGACAAAATATGACAAAGTGACAGTTGAACTGTTCAATGAGTGCACCCACTCATGCACGTGTAGGTGGCGAACTGCAAATTTCACCGGAACCGTTTCATGGATCATTGCCAAATACCGGTCCCTTAGTCCTACAGGCCTGCCCAAAGCAGCAATTCAGTGCCCCCTCTTGGATACTGAAGTTCTGCTGAGTGCCACACCCCCCAAGCCTTGCGCCATTTTGTAAACTTTCCCGTTCAAGCAGCTTCTGAAGATGCTTTGGATTCGAAATCCCCCTTTGCTGAGTACTCAAAAGCACAGTCGAGGACCCCATGCTAAGACTGACGAAGCCTGAAGCGCAGCCTCGGAACGTGGCCAAAGGGCGGACAACCCCACTGTCTTGAGGTAAACAGGGAGATGTCCAATTCATGCAAGTAAGGTTGGCGTGGGCCCATGTCAGGAGCACGCATGTGCCACGACGTGTTTGCTGGAGCAACATTCTGCTCTCGTGACGCGAGCTTAACTCCGAATGACGTGCGATGCTCAGTGCAGTCACCTCGTCACTGACCCGTGGTCGAACGATTTTTGTCAACGGCGTGCTGCAAGGTCGCTATTAGAGAGGACGCTGGCCAACGTGTGCACTGTCGCATCAGCTCAAACCTTGCAGTCGCAAACATCAAAATTGTAACGCGAGCCCGTCCGGCAGTGTGGCATAAGCACCGCAAGCGATCAGTTGTCAGCCCTGTGTGACACCACCTACGTCCATGACTGCTCCCGCCGCTCAAAGCCACTCTGATGCCTAAAGATGCCTCACGATGCCTCGCAATGCCTCATGGTTCTCCTCACTTCATTTCATTCTCATGATCACTTTTTCCATCTGACAAGTTGTCAATTGGTATTACTGATCGTACTATTGCGCACCCCTGAACCCTCTTGCAGAAAGCCTGGAAGCAGTGGCGCGAGGGGCCAGCGAAGGCCTGCTTCAAGGATTGTCGGATTGCCTGACTCGTGCAAGAGAACCAACGGGGTTGTGAGAAAACAGCAGCTTAGAGGAGATGGGGTTGGGGCTTTAGGGTTTTAAAATGTTTTTAAAGGCTTCCGGGTTGTAGAGTTGAGGATTTGGGTCGGTCGAGGCAACCCGTCGGCAGGTGGTTCCAAAGCCTGCTGCGCAAGTGCGGCGTGCGATTTCCAGGGCGTTGCTGGAATCTGCTTGGCATTCGCCTCTTGGAAGAGCCCATGTTAAACCGATCTGGGATTATAGATAGCCGTAGGCCAGGTACCAAGCTTGAGTTTCAGCCAGGGGCTGTAAAGCTGAGGACCAACCTGACCCAGACTTATGCACAGCTTTTGGCACTGGCAGCGTCCTTGGCTTTGTTTGTGAGATGGCTGCGCTGGCAGAATCGCTGGTGCATACAGGCTCGATGTGTCAAACCAAACCGCGCTGCCACTTAGAGAGATCTCTCACCCCTCTAAACCCGACCTGACTAGACAAGACCGTTGCCCAAGACGGCAAGGGAGAGTCAAGGAGAGCACGAGGCACGAGCTGAAGCGCAATGGATTGATGACGCCAGCAGGCCCGGCAACACTCAATTGGCAAATTGGCAGGTTGGCAAAAAAGAACTTCGTGGTTTGGGAAAGCAAATCTTGACTCTGAAACTCGAGGCGGCCATGCAAGTCAATGCAAGTGCTGCTTGCGTGCAAAATCTTGAAAAAGCTTCGGAATTGTTGCGTCACACGGCGCAGCCTGGAGTTCCGAAATGAAGAAAACAGGAAAGCCACCGTAACGACAGCAATCAACAGGCGAGCCTCTGGGCCGACACGCAAGCGTTGGGCGTGCGGCGTGTCAGCACGTGCCTGCGTCGAAGGACTTGCCCAAAGTCGTTCCTCGGGGGCTCGCCGGGGTAGGATCGCTTCTTGTGAGCCTTACGAAGATCTGCGCAATCTATGGGCGGGAACATGCGTCACATTGTGAAGATTGGCATGGCTGCTCCGGCGCCGGCGCGAAGAGCACTCAATTGAGAGCTCAGTAGGGAGTGCGCAACAGGAGAGTAATTCGGCCACGTCGGCGGACTCGGCGGTCCACCATGTGGCCGCTGCCAAAGACGTGTTCAACACCACGAGAACTGCGGCGGGCTGTTCTTTGCCAGCGGAAATCAGTCAGCATGGATGTCACGTTGGAAACTCAACCGCCACCCCATTTGCAGTGTCAAAAACCATAGGCATCACGGTGGCCTTAACCGCTGGCTCACGATTTCTACTAGGCATGGAGAGACCGCAAATGGGCAACAGTCCTTTTCACATGCACTGTTGCAGCGAAGCGTTGCCATGTGCAGAATGTGGGTGACAAAACAAGGAGACGGCTAATCCTAAACCACGAAC